TGACGAAATCCTTGGAAGTCTTGGAAATCAATTCGAACATGAACTTCATTTTGCTGGTGGTAAAGCTGGGACTCAGCGTCGCCCTCATTTCCTTCCAGCGTTCGCCGCGAAGAGAAAATATATTCTTTCCAAACAGCTTGTCCATCGTCTCGTCGACCAAACTGTTATGATCCGGAAAGTATTCGAAATTTTTCACGGTAATTTCACGAATCAATTGTGGGTCTCTGATCAAAATGATGGGTGTATTGAAATCCATCAGGCCGAAGAATTTTGCCTCCGAGTATCGGTAATACATATCCATTATATAATCAGGAACGGTTTTTCGTCTGAAGTAGATCGGCGCCATGTTTCCGAAAAGGGGTATCACTTCCATATATGGGATCCCACGTTTATTCCAATAAGTGTACTGACGGTAAATTAGGGCCACGAGAGAGAACCCGACAATTACGAGGACACATTGCAACGCATACCACAGATACTCCATTGCTGAACGAACTGAATGACTCTGCTGTTTGCAACCACAGGCTTCTATATACTACTAAACCGCTAACTTCCAGTATCTTGCCGTTTACATTTTTTAAAGTGGTGGGGGCTGGCCGCCATCTTTTGTAGGCCAAATTTGTGAGTGGGTTAGTGTATCGATCTGACACCCGACACTATTCAGTGGGGCAAATGCATCACATTCGTATTGGCGCGTGTAGTTAGTGATTACATCCAGCAAAACTCTCCTCTTTTAATAATTCAAAAGGAAAGAGAGACTTTTTACTACTATTTTAGAAATTGTACCGTAAATCGGATAAAAAATACCGCCATTTGAACCCCGAACCTTACGTTTACTAAGTCAACATCTTATCCACTTAGCTATTTAGCTCACTATAAATGATATAGGCTTCGTAATATTTAAGATCTGTCCCTCCACTTGTTTGACATCGGCTTATCTGATTCGCTTCTTCATATGTATCAAATTATTTTACCTATCATTCCGATTTTACGTACACAAATACGTCTGCTCGGAAAGCGTGGAAATATAGAAATCACGGAACAAGTGATCGGCATCTCCTATTTACTTTCCCCACCTGGAATACGGAATGCCATACAAAAAATGGCGTCTGATCTCCCCTCCACTTTGCCTCACAGCCAGCAAGCGAGCTAGCGGTTAGTGGTATATAGAAGTCTGTGGTTTTACCTGATAGCGAAGTTGTTTTTCGTGAAGTTTTAGTTAGACAATATCGCGATAGATGGCACCACAATCATCCACATTGTAGCTAGTAAGACGTTGCGTACCACATTAAATATTAAAGGTTCTGGATAATCAAGGGTACAGACTTCTTATTAAAACGATTGTATTTTTATAATCATTTTTTACAAACAATTCCGATCTAAGACAATTTCCTTCCTTCCTTCCTTTCCTTATGGCTGTATCCCCAATGGGGGACATGTGCCAGTAACTGGTCCTAATAATCAAGGTTGGAAGCTCGACAATAGATGGCGATGTACCTTGCGAGATGGGCCTTATTCAACTCAGCGTGAGGGGACCTAGAAAGTTTATACACCGTTTTGGTCGAAATCCGTATAAATACTCACTTAAGTTTTCATATGAAAACCCATTGGTGAATGCCGCTGGAAGCTTGGCGCGAACCTCCAACCTTTCGGTCGTGAATCCGCTACCCTATCCACTGGGCTACGGCAGCACCTAAGACAATTTTAGTTTAGCACACTCTGCGTCTAGGAACTATCTAGACGGCGCTGATAAGCGAACTGCACGCTTTGCGTGGGGGCTTCTCTAACCTCCTCTTGTCCAGAGAGCTTTGTCGATAAGGGTGTTTTTCAGGTCAGAAACGACCTTTCCCGTTCAAGGTACAGGTATTAGAGACACTGGTCTATCCGCTCTTTTTTATCAAACAAATTCTTGATTTCTCTTTTCATGACTGAGATCAACAGGAATTGTCGTATAATTTTCTGAATTCTCATATAAATTTGGATTTGATGTAAGTACGACAACTTCCTGTCCACGCCGATTAAGTTCTCTAGTTAACTGATTTAATACAATTTAATGACTATATGAAGACGTCGGAAATATCGCCAAAATTCGTGAACCCAATGAAGAATTTACTACTGTAAGCAGAGTGGCTGCTGTGATAATTTTTTCAAATGTCATTCTCGGTGATATGATACTTCTAATCTGAAGAGCCATTATACTGTCTCCTCTTTTATATCAAATCTTGCCAGTGATTACGTGACTACCAGAGAAATTTCGTCTTATCAAGAAATAAGGTAGGATTGAGCTTGACGTACATATGTATATTACACAGGCGACGATGCAACCACAACCGATCAGACGGCCAAAGATAGTATCACACTCGCTGGAGTAACGAAATCAAACAATAAAGATTGATTGTTAAAAAATATTGCACCATTAGACAAATTCAACGCATTATTTAAATTTTAAGGGTAAATATTTTTGATTCGAGCTAACTGGTTCATCCATACGCAGAAGATTCGGTCATAGGTAATATTTTCGCTAAACATTTAATTGTGTAATTATAAAAATAATATCTATTCCATATCTACATATTATCTCTACAATTTATATATGTATGTATTGTCTTCCTTGTTCATTAGGGAAATAGTGAATCATTTCCAGATCATTCATTAATCACTCACGAATCATTAAGGGACTTGGCCGTACAGGGCACGGACCGCCGAGACTCTTTACTCGAATCAACTTTAACATACAGAAACCATGGTCTTTACATTTATTTTTTACCATAGTTTAAAAAAGGGATAGTATTAATACCAAAGACAATAACAGTAATAAGAATGGTAATATTAATAAAGGAGTTTTGGCGAGACGCATCATATATGATGATAAACCAAAATTATATGTCACTATAGATTAAGTTATTCTAAGGCGGATTATGACTTAAGTATGTAGATCGATAAGCATAAAAATAAACCATCTTTTTAAAACCAAAAATCCGAGAGGACTCTTATACCTGAGTTTGGAGTCCAATATCTTGTGAACCGCTATACATATGACAAAAAGTTATTGATTAATATACTGTAGAAAATGAAGATCCTGAAACATTTTTTTACGATTGATACTGCATATTCGCCTGGCTTTGTACGTCGGTGCAAAAACAAAAGTCTATACAATGTACAATTACAAATTAATATTTGTCTTCGTTAGAGTGATCGTGCAATATAAGAGGTCTACGCATTTGTCTCTTATCTGTGATAAGGATGGTTATCCTTTATTATGGCTCTATTCTACGATAGCCGATAAGCAAATGAAACACGGTACGAATCTTCTTCTTCTTGACCCTGAACACGGTACGGATAAGCTAGCGCCGAAATCGGCGATAAACGGTATGAGGACCAGAGGGCGCTGATGTAACAAAATATTTATAAAAGTGTGTACGCGTTAAGGTGTACGCGTAATTTAGGTGTTTATTTGTAATTTCTTTTCAGCATCTGCATATCAATCAGAATTATTACTAATCTCTTTTTCTTTTTTTTGTTGTATCGTACCTTCTCTTATAACTCGACATCACGGACAGAGCAGAGATCAGACAGCGAACACCCAGTAATAACGTGGCATCATCGAACAGACGCCATATGGGAACTACGTGCAGTCCGTCCCGAAAAGCGCCTCTCGAACCTCGAGCATAAATGGTGGTTGACGGGAGGAGGTCTACGTGATCCTTTCGAGAAATCGAAGAACATCAGCGATAGCAACCAGAAGACTCGAGGAGCCAGATATCCCGAGACGACTGCGACTAGTGAAGGACGCACCATCGTGCCCCTGTAGCCAAGGCCATGAAGAGGATGATCCCGTGGACCCTACCGAAGGGCCAGGTAGGAAGCTGCCCTGGTACTGCGAGCCTGGGAAGAACTAGTTACCATCGAGAACCAGCCCAGTAGATGGAGAAACGTGCACCTCGATGGTAAATAAATTTTCGAAAATTATAGTAACAAAATGACCAAAAGATTTAATTTTTTATATGAGAAAACCAAATTATATATATATATATTATCTTGCGAATGATTATATTAAGCGAAATCATTATCTATTAAAAACTAAGTCATACATTAGATCAAATTAATTAATAATATGAGGCCAGCCTTCCCACAGTCATACTTATAAAAGTTTTCATTCAATATTCTGAACACGCACTTAATTTATTTTGTATATTCAATACTTATATATATACCTATTAGTTATTTAGTCGCTGATATCGATGTAGATGAATGGTAGTTTATTGCTTTGGTTCTTCGGTGTATTATCTAGCTGAATTGTCGCCGTGTCCGATCACAGTTATTGCTCAATTGTCTAGCTGAATTTTGTACAATATAGATGATGATATATTTTATGGCCCTATCACCCCGAGCGTATACCTATTGTGACAGGAAAATAATTTTATCTTTCCCCTCGACGTCACCGCTCGCCGAAACTCCTCGAGCGCTCGTAGGGACAAATTTACGAGTAAGGTATAGTTGTCGAAATAGGATTTATGTCGTTTGTGTTATTTATGGTAACGTAAGGTACTTATATTACCTGCGATTTAATTTATTATATGTCAATAATAATCGTTGAAGTAGCGGGTTATTGCTTACTCATATAAGGTATCGCGCGAGAGCGACAAAGAGACAGCCTATGGTTGGCCCGGTAGTTTGACAAAGATATCGCGATTTCGTTATCTCCTTGTCAAAGATCCTCACCCCTCCACCCTTGTTGTTTCAGTGTAAACAGGCTGAGCTAGTGAGTTGCCAGGCGATTTGTCGCGACAGCAGTTTCTAGATATCGTGACTTTGTGAGATCGGTATTCCAAAGGGATTCCTGGCGCCCAGGCCTTTCAGCGGCTATCGTCCCAACTGTTGCTCTCGCGGGAATTTTGATACTTGTGGCGGTATATCTTTCCGCGTTACCTTTTTGCCTTGTTTCGTAAATATTAGCGTCACCATCTATATAGCGCAATTTCAATTACTTATCGATATTGTGTATTTTATCAATTTCTCTTAACCGTAGAATCTCTTTATTCCGCAAGATCCACTAATAATATATATCAAGTTAAGATTTTATTTTTTACGATTTTATTTTATTTTTTACGTGGCCCTTCCGCCACATACTTTTGATATACTTCAAGTCCAGAAAGGAAAGGTGAAATTACAATTGAAGAACCAAATAAAGCAAATTCGTTTTTGAGTATTGTATAAAACCATGTTTGATATTTCTAAAATCAAATTATCAATCGATAATCGTTAGTGTACTACGATATCCACTTCTGTATATTTTAGATCATTCGTTTCTATTACTATTGTGGCTGGCATCATTTTCAGCATATTGTACTTCTTCTTCTACAGCATTCTTCTTTTCGTAGCATCGCTCTATTCAGTTATATTAATCAGTTAGTCATTACTACTCGTGTACATATAACCACTTAACAAAATCAGCGAAACGTGATATAATATTTAAGTACTATACATATTCAAATTCGTTGAACTAGTCTCTAAAAAAGCAGGAAAATTATGTTTCTCATTGGTCACATAACAAACATGGCCTATACACACACGCAGTGCAAGAATATTGTGAAGACAGCCTTATAAGTACCAGTCCATAAAGTTTCAAGTCATTGCTGTCTTGATAACAGTTTGATAAGGCCATTTTCGAAAACATCCCTCGAGACTCGACCGAGTCTCTTGATACGTTTATACATATTTTTCTTTTTTTAGTGTCTTCACGTCAATAATAACTGCAACCACGATAAAATGGCAGCACTTGAGATAGTGTGCGGTGTCGCTGTCACATTTCTGTTGATCTATTATTACTTGACAAGAAATTATGGTTTTTGGAAGCAACGTGGCGTCGCAGGTCCTGTACCGTCGTTTCCCTTTGGAAACATGGAAGACACAATATTAGGAAAGTTTGAATTAGGGGTTCTATTCAAACAGTTCTATGATAAATACAAAGGAGAACAAATGGTTGGTATCTTTGTCAGAAGCACACCGGCACTGGTCCTATGTGATCCTGAGCTAATAAAAGACGTGCTCATCAAAGACTTTACGGTATTTGCCAATAGAGGACTGAAGCACAATGCCAAAGTTGATCCATTCTCGGCAAATCTTGTATTTCTCGATGAGAAGGAATGGCGGCCACTACGGAAGAAACTCACTCCCGTCTTCACTTCCGGAAAACTGAAGCAGATGTTCT